CAGATCAGGCCAGTGCAAACAAGCAGGATATTTTGTGGAGTTATTTTGTGACAGCAGTTAATTTTGCCTGGCTACCTGAGGGTGGGTGTGTAGCCTTGAGTGTGTGCCCTCATGTCCCTATTTGCACCCTTTCAAAACATACCTCATAGTACTGCTATTCTCTGATGCTTTCTTTTTTTGTGCACAAAAAACGGTTGTAACGTAACTGAAACACAATTGGTTTACACTGATAGGCAAGATTGATACATTAGGGCTCCTATAGACGTGGGGAACCTGCCCTGGCACAGTGGGAATCGAGCAGCAATGCTGGAGTACCGGAATTGACGTGCACCAACAGCCTTCCGCATCACGTGTATCAGGTTCCCTGTGTGTCCCCATACTGATAAAATGGCAGCCATGTACTTTGAAATAAAATATGTTTGACAGGTTTTAGTTCAAAGTGCCCCATTGCCATTTTTCAGCACCGGGACGCTGATACACATGACACATGGGCATTTTGATTAGTGCAGCTTGCTAATTAAAGCACCTGGCACTGCAACCGAAACGCATCTAAAAATGCCCTTGGTCTGGTGCCTGGACATCCATTACATTTCAGTCCTTGTTGCCACATTGTGGAGCAGACAAGGAATGGCCTTGTCTGCCCTTTATGCTGCTCTCCTTATCCAAGTTGCATGCAATCAGTATCCTTCATATATGACTTCAGACCATAGCCAGGTCTGTTCTGATGCCCTCAGAATATATTTGCTAGTCTGTGACTATAGTGGAGCTCTTCTTGTGTGTGCCTGTTCTAAACTCCACATTGTTGGGGCCTCATATTTTAGAGGTGCCATTGCAGTTTGCCACTGCAGTTGGCTTCACTGAGTCTGTGATTCCTCAGCACCTTTGGGTCAAATCTATCCTCAGATGTGGTTTGTAGTGCCATGCATTAGACCTTACTAGGCTTGCTATTCCACCCACATGGAGATGGCTGTTAACTAGGGGATACTAAGATCTTCCTTTCACACTTCATGTGAACCCACTTATTTTAGGTGCACAAAACAGCAGCAGCTTCAGTTTAAGGGTTGGAATTGGACTCAGCTGATGTTTTGCAAGGTTGGCCACCTCTTGTCATGTGCCCAGAAATCACCTTTGCAGTGTCTGGACATTTCACCACTCCTTGCGTTTGCTCCTCATGTGGTTTATTTTTTCTTGTGTAAAAGAAACCCTGTGCCTTCCCTCAGAAGAGCAGGGGGTGTTGTAATACAGAAGGAAATGCTACATAGCATAGAAAATGTTAATTGTGTCTGGTTTTCTCTCCCCTTTCAGAACACACTAGTATCAGAAGAATGGAGGAAATTTAAAAAAGCAAACGAACTCCACAGGAAAGAGGCCAACAGACAATTAGGAGGCCAGAAATGCAAGGTGGAAAAGATTTTTCTTTTTGTTGGTAATAAGTTCAAGAGGATCACAAATACATTTCTTTACCTCGTTTTCCACATTTGTGTTCCATGGCTGTTCTGAGTACATTTCAAATTAAGCTGTCAAAGGCTGTCTCTTCTTCCCCCTATCCCAGGTGTGTAGTTGGATTCTGTTTGTTAAAAAATGTAAGTCTGACATGCCTGTGCTTGTGGAATAAAGAGGACAAGAGGAAAGAATAGTTTAGAGTATTATTTGTAGCTATTTCCAAGGCTGTGAGGTAAAGTTGGGCTCCAGCGAAGAATGAAACAAGTTTTCACGGCTTTTCCTGTCAGATAACATCTTTGTTGTGGATGTGGTTTTGTTGAAGTTTTTTTCACATTTCTACTGCTTCTGCTATTTGCTTTTCATATCCTCTCCCCTCTTGTGTTCATCAGAACCAGAGTTACATGAGTTTCTGCAGCAGGACAGATGGATGCAGATACAATGCCTGCATCTATTTATCCAGTGCTTATTGCAGCTGTCCTTAAAGGACTGCTGAGCTTTAATCTGGACTTCTCTGGATTAATTGAAGGTGCATTGATATAGTCTAAGCAACTAATAGTGAGCTCACTGGGCAATCAGAAAATTATGGGCAATTGTGGGTAAGATCATCTCAGCCTATCTCAATCTGTATCAACACTTGCCTATTAACCTCAAACCTTATCAGGTCCTGCGAGACTGCCTTTGAGGACTCTGAGTAACGCACGGAGCCTTCATGAAATGGGAACAACTGAGCAGCCTGAGTGCCAGTTCTGAATAACAACATAATCAGCATTAAAGGGGTGTGAACAGCAGGCTCTTTCCCTTCTTGAGGCACACTGAAATCGGCTCAGCTGGTGCCTTGTATATTAAAATCATTGGAATTTGGCATATGGATAGATGCTGTTTCACAATGTAAATAATTGCTTGCGTTATCTATGAGCCTTTCTTACACAGCCTGTTGTAGACCAGCATGAAGGGCAGGCTGTTGTGCCTGTACCATGGGAGAAGCTGTCCATGGTACTGACGTGTGAAGGCTTTAATGGGCACTGTTCCCCTTAAGAGCAGCCTGGGGTAAAGGCCCACAGGCAGTTTCATTCACACACCTATAAGGGATGTTCAGATTAAAAGTCTCCTCTTTGAGTACCTTTCTAGCCTACTTTTATTTCTTCTCCATCCCCTAGTACAGACCTTCCTACTTAAAAAGTAACTCCTTGGTTTTCCATCTGCGTGCGTGTGTGTGTGTGTGTGTGTGTGTGTATATATATATACATATATATATATGTGTGTGTATATATATATATATGTATATATATATATACACGCACACACTTTTTTTTGCCAACCATAGCAAACTGGTTGATAGATTTGCTTGATCCAGTAAATGACATCACCAGCAAAAATCCTTGCCTCCTTACCGTATAAACTGGGCAAGCACTAAGTCGTTTAGTTTAGACGCTCCTGAGCCTTGCTGTTCAGTCTCTATGCCAGGGGCAGACAAAATACAACTTACAAACAAAATACAACCCCAGTACTCTTTCCTGCCATGGCAGGGGGTTGGACTAGATGATCTTCTCAGGTCCCTTCCAACCCGAGAAACTATGAAACTATAAATCTACTCTCTAATAATTTGTGTCCATTGTTCCTTGTCATGCCAGGGGGCGCTAGGGGAAACAGTGTCTCCCCTAAACCCTTCTGGTCACCCCTAGTGAGTTTATAGACAGTCACCAGGTCCCCCCTCAGCCTTCTCTTGTAAAGGCTGAACAGGTTTAGGTCCCGCAGTCTTTCAGTGTAGGATCTGCCCTGTAGTCCCTGGATTGTGTGGGTGGCCCTCCTCTGGACCCTTTCAATGTTGTCCACATCCCTCTTGAAATGGGGCGCACAGAACTGGACGCAGTACTCCAGCTGTGGCCTGACCAGCGTCACATAGAGGGGGAGGATCACCTCCCTGGCTCTACTTGAGATGCACCTGTGGATGCACGACAAGGTCCGGTT